AGGAGATTGCCCCTCCTTCTCCAGCAGAGCATCTGGTGGATTCGAACGGTGTACCTCTGGGATTGCAGTGCAGCTTCTTGCCACTAGGCCACCAGAGCTCCCTTGTTTTTAATTGTAAATCTACATTTAGCTTTTTGAGGCTTCAAAACACCATCCACAGTGGCTCTATCATTGTTTCCCCACCAGCAACGGTTGACTGTTTGCTTTCCCATTTCTTTATTAAGATATTTCAATTTTCCTACTAATCCCTTTCTATGTTAGAAGAAATTTTAAATCATCAAGGAAAACATGATATACTTCCTATTGATCATAGTTTATTAAATTTCATTGCTATTTATATAACTCATTACATTTATTTAACATGTACTAGGATATTTCAAGTTGTCTTAGAGACAAAAAAAGTCAGGTAGATAAAAAGAATTATGTCCTGATTGGCAACTTGAATTTATCAGTAAATGAATTACATCAGTGTAATCCATATTTAGGCAATAAGCACATTGTGTTACTTTTGTACTTGGCCTTACCCTTACTTCAATGTTTAACTATCAGTAAGATAGTTTCTCTATGTTTTTATGTTCACCTTAAAATCAGAGGTAGGTGTGTTAGAGACATTAAGGTTGGCTCAAGATAGAGCAGGGTTCAGAGCTGTTGTCGTATAAGGGGTTGTTACAAGTTGCAATAGACTCAAAGACACATAACAACAACAATAACAAAATGAGGAGAATAAGAAAATGTAGGCCAAATCTTTCAATGTATAAATATTAATAGACTATCTTTGTATAATAGATTTTCATGCCCCAACAGATAATCTATTTATTACAAATTTTCCCATTAGTTTTTCACAATAGCAAAGAAATAAGGACAGTTATTTTTACTGGGATCCAGTAATTTGAAATGTTCTTTGTTTAACATGACAGGCATGCCATAGAGTCTTTTAAACAAATATAACTCTTCTTTGAATATTTCATTTAGGAATTGTAGAGCACATCTAACTCCATTTGTAATTATATCTGAAGTTGTAGCCAAACAGCCATTACCTTTTGTCCACAATACTGGGTGGAACTACATGAAACTACCATCTTTGCAGACAGAAAGGTCAAACAGTATCAATTTCAGAAAGCTCAATCTAATTACATTTCAAATGGATGGGACAAATCTTTTCCAGAGGCAAGAAACCTAAGGGGAGGGGAGACATTGGCTGTTGATATGCTAATTTCAAATTTTTGCACGATACATTTTTTCTTTTAAATATGAATTCAAGCCGAGAGAGGCTGCTCTTGTGGTCACAGGGTTCTCTGACTGCTCTTGTCCCAAATAGAATGGGGTCTTCTCATAGAAGGAGACAGAATAACCACAAAGACCAACTCTCATTCTTAATTATCTTCACTAAGTTGGTTAACTGCAAGTCTTTATTTGACTTATTTTCCATTGTCAACTAATTTGTGTTAGGAGGGGAATGAATTTTTTCATTGTGCTGTCTTGTGTGTGGTGTTAGAGATACAATAGCTCACTCCTACCTACATACTCCTTTCTTTTGTTTTCTAATCAGCTCTCAGTTTGATTTTTGTGTGTTTAGATATTATGGGTCCAGTATTATGGCTGAGGCCCCCAGAATGACAGTATTTAGGGTCTAGTTACCTCTGTTCTTCATAGGGAATCTGGTGTGATCCATCTCTGTTCTTCTGAGTTATAAACCATGGTTTTGTTAGGTATTCTTTTTTTTTTGTTGTTGTTATTTTTTTTGTTGTTGTTGTTAGGTATTCTTGACTCAGCCCTGGTCAGATGCTGGCTTCCTGTAAAGGTGGGAAATCAACAACAACAACAACAACAACAATGGCAAAACCCTGCCTTCACAGGCTCGATCAAGGTAACACCTTAGTCAGCAGACCCATTAATGCTTCAGGACAGATCTATGCTTCACTGAGTTTTCATTGGCTGATTTTTTTGGAGGGAGACTTGACCTTCAACATTTCTGTTAGCAGCTGAGTGTGTTAAATGTTTGCAACCGTGAGGGGCTTTCAAGACAGTGACCCCATCAGCCAAAACCTCACCATCCTGTAGCTCCAGGCTGGTGTGTATCTTAGTTCATATAGTTTTAGAAAAGACTCTTTTTTTATTTTTTCTAAATTTTTTAAAAATTATTTTATTATTTTGTGTGTATCTGTACCGTCAAATTAAATCTGACTGGTACAGGAGGAGATTGCCCCTCCTTTTCCGGCAGAGCGTCTGGTGGATTTGGACTGCATATCTCTGGGATTGCAGTACAGCTTCTTGCCACTATGCCACCAGAGCTCCCCTTAGAAAAGACTCTTGTGTTTGTAGTAGCAAATAATCTCTACTGTGTCCTATCCCTTTTTCCATGAGAGTTATTTGCAATATCTCATCTATTGGAAAGGGAGCTCTAGCAGCCTAGTGACAAGAATCTGTGCTCCAATCTGAAGGCACACAGTTTAAGGCCATTAACTTCTCCACTGGAAAAGGGTGGACAATCTCCCGTGTGATTGGCCTCTGAAAACCTGCTGGAGGGTCAGCTATGGGTTGATTCCCTCTCAATGGTACACAACAACAATATCTATTTCTGTCCCTTAAAGACTGATGGATAGCCAAATAAAATAGGGTCAGTCAGGCATGGTATTTCTATTTAAGATGTATTTTCTTTTATTTACATATATGTATGTATTGTATTTGGTATTGAATTTTAACACTCTCCACCCTGGCTGCACACCTGCTCTAAAAAAGCTGTAAACCACACAGCACTTTCTTGTACAAACTGCCTGTCAATGTCAAAGCTGGCTGTTCACGTCCCGGTAATTACCTTCTCATTTTAGACTAAACACAAGTGAAAATTTGACTTTATCGTAATAAATAGAAGACATTAGGTAATTAGTAGTGCTGGTATATTTCTAAAATACTAAACAGACAAACAACAAACTGTGAACTTAATCACATGATTTCTTACACAGTTTTAAGACAGGAAAATTAGAGCTCTCAGCTACAGTCATTTGAATAATCACACTGGATCTGCATTATTTATTAGTTAGTACATGCTCAAGTGATTCAAGGTTGTACAATGCGGCCTAAAATCATTCCAAAGCAAGCATACCTTTTGTCTTTTTTAATCCCAACTGGATTACACAATGCATTTGTTTGTATTTAGTTAAATTGCTCACTGCATTTCACACACTCCAAGAAGGAGACATCAGCCATCCTTCTGGGAGCCCATCTTTCTGACATAAACTTCTGTAAGGGAATGGTTTACCAGCCCTTTGGATTCAAAAGACATGCAAACTTTCAGCCAGATTCCAATCACTTTTGGTTTCCTCAACAAACTCTCACACCATCAGAATTCCCTTGGAAGAGCCATGAATTCTGTCTAGTGATACAGCTTATAGAAGCACAAAAGACAGCAAGACCCCCCAGTTTCTAGGAACTGTTTTCAAATTTGGGCCCCTCTCCTTTATTTTTGCTGCTGCTTTGCCCATCTTTAACTTTTGTTTGTGCTCTTGTCAGTATAATTCCCCTTCTCTTCCTCCCTCCCATGGACCATGTTCAGGTCTTAAATGTTCTCTGGATTTGGTGAAAAGCATGCAACTGGAGGAATATGGTTGATTCGATGCTGAAATTTTTGGGGAAAGTTTATAAAATGGACTCAGTGGAACTGAGAACCAAGAAGCAATCCTTTTCAGAGAAAGGACCCCCCGCCCCCCGCCCCAAGGGTGTTAACCTTGAGCTCCTGTGACTTCAAGTCAAGGCTCAGTAACACTGGACAAGCATAAAAAGTTCTACAATATCATACTTGCTTTTTCTTTCATTTTTTTTTCATCCACCAAAGAAATGCAGAAATAAGGACTGGTTGCTTTAATTTGCTGCTAAATGAAAAGCAGGTTTGGCTTTATTCATGTCACTGTAAAAACTAAATAATAAAGCATTCACACCAAGCGTGAATTTTTTTTTCCAGCAAAGGTTAAAACATTAAAGAAACCTCTTTCAGATACTAACAAATTTACTTACAAACACCTACATTTATTATTTCATAAATAGGTGCAACAAGTTCCATAAAAAAGATTAAATACAGACACAGTATGAAGAAACAGTAACACAGAGCCATGTGTAAAGGTTATAATTTAGATGTTTCCAATCTGTATTTGCATCTAATAAAATACCAGGTAAGCATTTGGCAGTTTTATACTAAAAGGACTTAAATGATGCTTACTAAACATTACACAAAAAGTGATACAAAAAAGCAATCTTTCTGCAGTACAAAATAAACATGTTTGCGCTTCTCTTCACACTAGTTTTTGTCTGATGCCGTGAGGCAAAGCCAATTTGTTTTTAAATTAAAATCACTTGGGAATACTTTTTTCCAAATATTTTTGAAAATATAGAAACTATTAGTTGTTTTAAAAATGAAGTAAAAATATGAATGTTTGCCAATTTAACCCCTATTGTGAAATCAATAAACTGGAATGAACCAGTTTCAAATTACAATTTAGCTACAAAAACATTCACATTTTATACTCTAGGAGAGTGTAACATAGATGCTATTTACAAACTTGCTATGACTGCTACATCAAGCCATTTAAAAGTCTTTAGTAGTTTCATATAAACACCCATTATGAAAACCAATGGAAAATCCAGGACTCTTATTCGAGACATCTACAACTGCTAAGGCAGTTACTAGAGCGTAGCACTTCACAGCAAAAAAAACAAAAACAAAAAACCAAAACAAAAAAAACCAAACCCCAAACACCCAACATAAAAGCAGAATGGTCCAAATTTCCTTCAGGGAAGAAGAAAAACAATGTCCATAAGGATTAAAAAAATAATAAAGAAGCATGACTATTTCTTCCAGAGTGGGCGACCCACAAGCTCAAATGGTCCTAAGTGCTTAGCATCTTGTATTTTCTAACAAAATGGATAACCGCCTTGGCTGTACAAAGCAATTGACGCCGAAAAGACTTCCCTGAATTCCCCAGTGGAGAGAGGAGACGTCAGGATTCTCAGGTAAGGTACAGTGCTTTGTCCCTCTGCATGCCCCTGTGAGGAGAGAAGACAAGGTCTTGTTAATGGAAACTTACTCTGCAGGAGAGAAACAGGTTAACTTACTTGCTCTAGTTTCAAGGACAGAGTTGCTTTCACTGGCACATTACAGTCAACTTGCTGGATCCCCAGTGAGTGACCTCAGGGGTAATCTTTTCTTGCATGGACCTCCTCCCATACCAGGCCATGCAGAATCCTTAGTAATGTTTATTAGCAACTTGAATCACAAGATAATATCTGGCAAATCAAATTCTAGACTGACTGAATATAGGATTTCTTAGATTATGTGGATACTAGGGAGCTCTTGGGGCCTAGTCTGTAGGAGTTACGTCGTTGACACAAAGGTAGAACTTCTCATTGAGGGGTGGTTCAAATGCACCTGTGACTCCAAAGGAGAAAGTGGGTGATATCCTTCATGACTTACAGCCTCAGAAATCCGCTGGAGGGCTGCTGAGACATAACCCACTTAATAGCAACGAAGTTAGTTGTTATTTGGATACTAGTTACAGTATTAATAGTAACTGAATGGAAGCTCTTTTTTCTTAATTACTCGTCATCACAGATGTTATGGTTATGTTGTTAAGTGCTGTCAAGTCGTAGATGACTTATAGCGACCCTATGAACAAAAGACCTGAACACTTGTATAATTTTCATCGTTTCTCCAATTTCATAGAGTTTCCAGAGGCAAGCTATTTTGGAATTGGATGCCACTCCTGCGTCCAACCTCGTTTTAATTGAGGAGCTCCACCAACCACTGTCTATCATGGGTAACCATTATCGTATTTGACACATCAGTGTCACAGTGTGCACAAATATAAATTACTGCAATATTATAGCTAAACACCAGGAATTTTGAAAAAGTCACAACTATAGGCAGGGAGTTCTGGTTAGGAGTTATGCTGCCAATGAAAAGGTAAATGGTTCAATTCACCAGCTATTCCACGAGAGACATACAGTCTACTCCCATGTGATTTACTGTCTCTGAAAACCTGCTGGAGGTTAGCTATGGGTCGGTTCTGGCTTGAGGGTACACACCACCACCTGAGTGGGTTAAGAAGTTGTGCTGCCAGCCCAAAGGTGAATGGTTCAAATTCAGCAGCAGTTCCATGGGGAGAAAGATGAGCAGGCTCCCCCTATGATTTACAGCTTCTGAAAAGCCACTGGATAGTCAGTTATGAGTTGGTTCAGACTGGACAGCATAGAACAACATAAAAAGACCAGTAGCAATGACAACAACGGTGCCTATTTGTGGTTTGTGCAGAAGAAACCATGTGATTTGAAGCCTTGCTGTGACTGGGAACTAATGACAGTCTTGTTAAAAAGTTAACTCACCAAGTTCTAGCCTTCTTCAATATAAGTTTGGCTTACAAGAAATGGATTGGAATCAACTCAAAACAATGGGTTTGGGTTTTTGGTAGCTAACCACAGGTGTATTTTATAAAAAAGTAAAACATTTCTGCTAACACAGCGCACATGAATTTACAGACATTTTATCTTTGAAAGAAGCACTTGGTGTGATCCACATGCTTCTACTATTTCCAGTACCACTAAGCAAACTAACAACTACTTCAGGGCATTTTTTCCTGGTGAGAAGACCCGGGTGGCGGAAACCATGAATATGCTCAGCCTCTAACTGGAAGTTTGGTATTTGGAGTCCTCTCTGAGGCACCTCCAAGAGGTCTGGCAATGAAATTCTGAAAACTGAGCCATTGTAAACCTTGTGAAGCATAGTTCTACCTGGAAACGTGGGGGGCCATGAGTGGGAAAAGGTTATTCCTGGGATATATACAAGGCTGCTTAAGCCTTTCTGGAGAGATGTCTTCTATGGGCATTGTACTATTCCAGACAACCTTTTAGAAAGCTGGAATAAAAGGGGGATCTTTCCATAGATCAGGGTGCAAGGCGCATGCTGTGATAGGGAATCACCAGTAGGTGGCGCTGGCGGGCCACTTACCCACTACTGCAGTAGTCGTTATTCCAGTCCACAGGCTGGGCGGGAGGATTTCTGCACCCGGAGCGCACGTACTCCATTGCTTGGGTGACAACTTGTGCAGCTGTGGATGTAGGGTTGATAATGGTCTGATAGTCGGGTTGAAGAGTAAATCCCTGAAAGGGAAAACAAGTTTTCAAGTAAGGATCAAAACCCTTGTTTTTAAAAAAAGAGGAAAAGCACTTAAATATTTATCCACTCTGCAAACATACATCACTAGCTTCTAGCTTGGGTCTCTGTTGAGGGCAAGCGTATTAAGACGTCACATAAAAACGAAAACACCAGTTTAAAAATATGCGCACAGACCATTTGTCTACCTTTCCTTCCTTTAAACATGTGTCAGAGAAACGTTAATCATAGTTTTGAGCAGCTAGATGGAATTGAGAAAGAATTTAAAATATGGAGATACCCACTCAATCAAAACTAAAGGAATTGACCTTAACCCCTCCAAGTTTGTTTTCCATCAAACTTAAGGATGCATTAATAGTTAATCCTCAGAATATGCAACAGAATCTTTTCTGAAGGATTTGGGCAGCAGGTGGTTGAGTGCTTTATTAGACTACACCTATTCACATATTGTTCTCAAAACCCCTTTTTCTTCATGCAGTCACAAAGGACCATCTGCTGCTTCTTTTATTTGTACTTCTCTCTCAGATAAAGAAAAAAAAAATCAACCAAAGCTTTTAAACAGTTGGGCTAATATAGGGAGAAAGATTCAAAACAACTTGCCATTGGAATAATGCAGAAAGGAAAAAATGTTAGGCAGGGCAAATATTTTTTAATTGAAAAGTCTATTAACTGGCAAACAAGAATCAGACTTCAGGAAGATTCTTTTAATATACTGGTATGGTGACGTGTTGACTTTTAATCCTCACAAAGCTTATAAAAATTCAAGGAGAAAGTCTCTGAAGGATATACCTATATCTGGTAAACAAAAAAAGCTTTCTATACTAAAAAGTATTTTTAGCTTATCTGGTGAATTCAAGAGCAGCACAAGCAGGCTTTGCGGGAAATGACCAAGAAAAGCAACATAATTAATCTTGTGGTTTGTCTCTTTCTGCAGTAGATTTCATCCACGGTTTTAACCACGGAAAAACCCCAAGAGATTTAAAAGTGAACCACTCGCTGCTAAAGTGCAGGAAGCTTTTGAAGGCACAATATTGTCAAGTTTCTGTGTGTGTGTGTGTGTGTGTGTGTGTGTGTGTGTGTGTGTGTGTGTTTAATCGCAGCATGGAGATGAAAGGACTGACGTTTTGCTAAGGAAGTTTTTTTATCCTTTGATTCATGTTTGGGTCTCCCTTTGGGAAAGACTCAGATGTACCAATTATCATGCCCTCAGTTCTCAATATTGACTTTATGATATTACTTATTTTTCATCGAAATGATAAAGACTTTAAACCAGTGCACACATTAGTTCTGACCAAAGCTGTGGAACAAAATAGCTGGAAACATATCATTAGAAAGTGGAAAATTTAGTCATGCTGACTGCTTTATGTCACACAGACTTAAAAGGAATATGCTTTCCCTAAATTAACACTTGGTTGGTGGGAAATTGGTTTGTTTATGTAGACTAGAATGACTTTCAGAATAAGAAAGCTAAAAGAAAGACTCATTTCTCTTAATAATTTCCAGTTTCCTTTCTTCTTTCTTTCCATTCCATCTTATATTTTGTCAGGGTCGGAGACACAATGATTTCAGGGAAATGTATTAATTTTGTGTCTTTTTGTGGCTTAGCACCAGCTTTCCTTCTTTATTTTCTTTGGGACCTCTGGTAGCTTGTTGTTCATTGTTATGTGCTGTCAAGTTCACCATGACTCATAGTGACCCTATTATGCACAATAGCTCCGAACTCTGCTCTTTTCATAGCCAATCTCACTGTTTCTCATATACCTATGCTCATTACCCCAGTTATTGTGTCAATCCATCTCATCTGGGGTTGTTCCCACTTTGCACTATGCCTCGACCCTTCCCATCATGATATCCATCTCCAAAGATTGGCCCATCCTGGCCACGTGTCCAAAGTATGTGAAACAGAGCCTCAAAATCCTTGCCTTCAAGGAGCAGCCTGATTTTACCCTTTCCAGGACAGATCTGTTAGTTCTCTTGGCAGTTGATGGTAAGTTCAATCTTCTTCTCCAGCATCACAACTCAAAGGCATCCACTCTTCTTCTACCACTCATGGTCATTATCTAATTGTCTGGAGCACTGCAAGTAATTGCAAAGACCATGGCCTAGATCAGGTTCACCTTAGTCTCCAGACTGACATTATTGCTCTTTAGAACTTTGGAAAGGTCCCTGATAGCAGATATCCCCAATGCAATTCATCTTTTGATTTCCTTTCTGTTAGTACCAAGGGAGTTGATAGTGGAACCAAACAAGTTAAAATTGTTTACAATCGCAGACTCTTCTCCATCTATCATGATGATGCTAATTGGCCCATTAATCAGAATCTTCATTTCCTTGATGTTGAGTCTCAATCTATATTGAAGAGTATGGGCCTTGACCTGTAGCAGATATTTCAGGCCATCTTCTGATTCAGCAAGTAAGGCTGTATCATTTCCATAACACAGGTTGTGATGAGTCTCCCTCTAGTCCTGATGTGACATTCCTCCTCATAAAGTCCAGCCTCTTGAATGATCTTTTCTGCATACAGATTGAAAAGGTAAGGAGATAGGATGCATCCCTGATGTACTCCTTTTCTGATTTGGAACCATGCAGTTTTTCCTTGCTCTGTTCTGATGACTGCTTCCTAGTCCAAGTACAGATTTTGCATGAGTACAATCAGGTGTCCCGGGATTCCCACTCTTCTCAAGTTTAGTCACAATTTGCTTATTTGTTTTTTTAATTTTTAAATTTTTGTTTTAATTTGTCAAATGCCTTTGCATAGTCAATGAAACACAGGTGGAAATTTGGTAGGGCATTGCGCTGCTAACTCAAAGGTACATGGTTTGAATCTACCAGCTGCTCTATAGGATACCAATGGGCAATCTCCTCCTGTGCTATTTTCTGCTTCTGAAACCTGTTTGCACTATCAGGCACCTAGCATCAGACTTGTTGTTGCTGTTGTGTACTGTATAGTGAGAACAGACTCATATTCTCAGAACCTGGTCCAGAAGTGCGCTTCCAACCCAAAGGTATGTGGTTTGAATCCACTAACTATGCTAGACAGGGAATCTCCTGTGTGATTTCGTGTCTCTGTAAACCTGCTGGAGGATCAGCTGTGGGGTGGTTCTGATTCGACAGTATACAACCACTGTAGTGAGGGAGCTCTGGAAGCCTAGTCTGGAGGGGCTGAGCTGCTACCCCAAAGGCAGTGCCTCTCTGATGGTTCAAAGGCACCAGCTGCTTTGGGGAAAAGACAGGCTATCTTTTGTCCCGGATTCACGGTCTCCTGAAAACCTACTGAAAGGTGAGCTGTGAGTTGCGTCTGAACTCAATGGCAGTGAAAAAGGGAAGGGGAGTGTGGCATTGCTGGAGAGAGAGTCTTCATAATGCAACACACTGCAGTGGGAAAATCTGTGGCAAAAATCTCAAGTGTTACAGAAACAAGTGAATAATGTCTTTGTTGTTACAACTATATACAACAATATTTGTATAAAATTAGTAAATTTCTGCTGAAACACACAATAATTTTCATGTCATTCCTTCAACAGTGCCACCTAGTAGAGTCTCACATGACCCTCCACCCCCCATTGCTACTGGAAAGCTAACATTATCTCCCCTCCCAATCCGCAGGAAGGCCCTCAGTATGCTTAGTTATAGTATTTTTCAATCATCCATGTGCATGTGAAAGCTGGACAACAATAAAGATCAAAGAAAAATTGCTGCATTTGAATATGATGTTGGTAAATAGTGCAGAATATACCAAGGACAGCCACCAGAATGTGCACTTCTACGATGGAGGAAGTGCAGGCAGAAGGTTCTTCGTTAGTGAAGATTGTGAGACTTTGTCTCGCACACTGTGGAGGAGGGGAGGAGACACGCCTCTGGAGGCACGTATCATGCTTGGGAAAATAAAGAGGGAGACCCTCGACACAGTGAACTGGCAGTGGCTGCACTAATGGGCTTAGGCACCACAAAGAATATGGTTGGCTGTAGCGGGCAAGATGGGCAATTTCCTCCTGTGGGATAAACTGTCTCTGAAAACCCGCCAGAGGGTCACCTATGGGTCAGTTCCACCTCTACGGGACTCAACAATAGCATAAGGTCACTAGAGGTTGGAAGTCAATATAACAGCAACAGTCTATACTAGTAGTTCAATAAATAAAGTTTTCAGCAAATAGGGATAATACAGAGTACCTGATGCTGCTGTTGGAAGGCTCAGGGAACACAAAAGAGTAAATATCATGGCTTCATATCCTTTTAAGGTAAAGTTCCCCATATTGAATTTTTTGCAAAAACAACAAAATGTAATAATCTAAAATAAACGAGTCTCAAGTATACAATAATGGAACATATTCCAAGTTAGGAAGAGGTATGAGAACATATGGAGAAGCAAAAGCTAAACAGAAACAAACACAATCTCCTCCCACCTGACCTACACAAAACTAAACAGGAACATCAATTTTTCTCCATCCAAGAAAAACAGTTTGAGTTCGGGTAAGAGAATATCAAGAAAATATTAGCCATTTAATTTACTTAGATGAGTGACTTAATTTTCTAACACTAAAATTATGTATAATTTACACAGCTTAAAAGTTTAAAACTGAGCAAATTTCAATGCTTACATTTAGTAATATCACTCAAATTAATAAAGGCCCAAGAGAATAGTCACAAGTAATGTCATTATTTCACTGTCCCTCAATGTAGAGAATGAAATGTTTGTCTCTGAACTTGAGAGAGAGACTAAGATCAAACTTGGAGCTCAGGACATTTTTATTATTGATGTAAATAGGAAACAACAATGACGATATAAATTTCTGAAAAATGTTTGCTTAGCAGTCTAATTAAACATGACTGAATATTTTGCATTTTAATGCTCAGGAGAAAAATCACCAACTGTTTTGCAGCATGCCTGGAATTTTAAATTTCATTTTCTGGTGCCAGATTGAAATAAAAATAGGAAACATGATAAAGATTAATTTGATGTCAGAAGGGACATTTGCTCTTTAATTAG